CGAAAATTTAGATACCTACACCTCAGCGGCGTAAATTTATCTGCAATTTTAAATTTGCATTTAAATTATTCAACAAGCATGGTTAACTTTCAGCGCTTTTGGTGCATCATGCCTGTTGACCTGTGGTAAAGCTAGATATATATTATAACTTTTTTATTTTCAAAAATGAGGTTATGTCGCGTGACTTCGCCTTGGTAGAATCGCACAGCTGTTTAATTATTACCAACAACAGTTTATCTTTAATATTTTAGGATGAGACCATCAAATACATATATGTAGGATCTACCTAATGTGACCAAAAACGCATAAAAAAGTGAAAATTATTCAAAATTTTAAGGAAAAATGGTCAAAAATGACTTTTGTTAGACTAAATTTTTGTACAAAAATTGAGTAATTTTATTTATTCACCTTGTATATTCAGTTTTACCTTCCATTGTAAATATTCCAACTGGTGCTTCCATTGCCTTTTCCGTGTGCGGCGTGCAACAATTATTAATTCATGACTTCATTTTTACGCGCCCGGCACCTCCACCATTCTTCTGTGAGTCATGTGCTCGGCTTATCCCTCCGGTACGTTCACTGGGCGTGCCCGAAACGTCGCTTTTTGTTTCTTTGTTTCTTCGTTTCTTAGAGAACAATGTTTCCAACACTCTTCGCATTTGCTTAGCTGTTTCGTTGGCCTCGTGACACAGACGCATTTGTCGGCCGGCTTTAGATACACGACGCTGATTAAAATTGTTTGTAATGCAAAGTAATTACTTTAATAACGTATAATTTGTTGTGTGTGCGATTACGTGAACAAATTTCATTGCTAAGCCTTCAAAGAAGGCAAAATGTGCAAGGGAGAAGTGCGTTGGTTAAGACTGAAGTTAATGAAACATATGTTGGAGGGTGCAATATTAAAATAGGCCTGTTGTTGGCTTAGATGACTTGACACATAATCGAAAATTATGTAGTGTTGAAAATTACTAATTCCAAACAGTAATTAATAAATAAATTAATATTTTGTTTACCTCCTACCACAGAAAATTTACTTTTGTGTAGTTTGGGATTAATTATTGTTAAAATGCTTTTAAACTAAATGAATACATCATTAATGATAAATTTATGTATGAAATCATTAAAATAACATTAAAATTTAATGTATTATTGTAATTTTCAAATTTAAATTAGAGTAGTTGCAGATTTGTGGTGAAAAATCTGCGTAACATGCAAATTTCTGTTTTAACGGGAAAAAATCAAAGATTGCATCCAGCTGAGCTAAGCTATGACGATTATATGAGAGAGTTATGAACTTCGGATGAGCATTGTTCGTAGAGTGCGTAATTGCGATGCGTGTCGGCCCCTGAAACACAATTCCATCGTTGAGCTATAATGACTTTGATTTTAAACCGAGCGGGTATTAACGATTTTTATTTAATATCTTCCTGGAAATTTAAATCTAAATTTTCTCTTTCGTTTTCCGAATTTTGTTAATTTGAAATTGAAAATGTTTCGAATTGCGTATTTGAAATATTCGCATACGAGTTATATTCCGAATTGTAGCGTAAAAGTTGAAAACAGTAAATTCAATTACATTTCATCAGGTGTAATTTCCCATGTGCTTACACTTACACTGTAGCATGCAACTCATTTAATTGGCAATAAAATCCAGGCGTTAATGTAATGCCTTGTCTACTGCTGGTGTAAACAGCACACACGAATATTTTCCACGTTCGGTCGGTTCGCGAACGGCGGCGAATTACGGCGCGTACGCAAATACAGCCGCCTGCCGACCGCCGGCAAACAATGCGCACATAATAGCAATTTGGCGCCGGCACCAAATCGCGCGGATTATCACTTGAGTGTACCTACATGATTGCGCGCCGCGATGAGAAAATTAGCACGTTTTTCGAATCGAAATTTTATTCGCTGCGGCGCAAAATCCGAAAAACTCTCGTGTCCGCAGTTTGATAATCCGAGGAGATTATTATTGCTTGTTTGCCGCGCTTGGGAGTTTATTAGAAATTGCTGGATGTAATCAAAAACTTGCATAACAGTAAATATAAAACAATTATAATTAAATGTAAACAAAAATATTAATTATGATACAGTTTTATCTTTAAATTAATATTAAAATAAGTGATAATTACTTTGTAGCTCACCTTCGTTTGATAATTAGTCTCATATCGTTTTGCATGTTGCATGTTGCATATTGCCAATTACAATGTGCGTCAATTAAGTTTTCGTTGCACGCAAAATTGGAAATTGGTAAGTGAACAATTTCCAACAAGGTTGGGCAAATGTACTTTTACATCTGAACAAGCAGAAATAATTCCAAAACGCGAAAATAACACCAATAAATAAAAGAATTTCGTTAGAAATTATAATATATTGGAATTTAATTATAAGATATTATATTTTCATGTAATAACATTTTGTGATATTAGTTTAGTTACCCCTTGGTATGTAATATTAGCGCTCGCACCGAATTTGGCAGCAAACGTGCGAAATAAAAGCCAACGACGCGTAAACTGTGCTGGTGCAGCTCCACCAGAGCTAACTGCAATCGACCATTTCGCAAGCGTTTCGAAACGCTCGTTTGCGCCGTTCATCGTTCATCGTTTGTGATCGAAATGGGCGCTAGCGAAGCAATCCGAATGTGCGACGCATGTCGTTAGCAATGGTTTCTAATTTGCCTGAAAACTCGTCCAATTTGGCAAAAATTAGAACAATGTCGAGATTTTTTTGCTCAAATTTCACATTTTACCATTGGCAAAACCGGAAAATTTTCCGAATATCATTTTTTATGTTTGAATTAATTTATTTTGTTTGTAAATACTGTATTTTTAATGAGAGATGAGGTAATTTACGTCATGTTTTAATCCCACATCTGATAAATGTTAATTAGCATTTTGGTGGTTTTGCATACACAACTACCCCGTAAACAAACGCCTCCCCGGCCACAAAACGGAAAATCCTTGCCGAAACATCTACTCCTCGTCGCTCTTAAATGATGAATGTTGCACGTGCACGAAGTCGAATTGGCCCAACATTACAGTATTACACCGAACACGTCGTTTGGCCACACGTACAACACATCGGAGCAATCCACGCACGCCGGCCGTAATAAATTAGCGGTCGAAGTGCCTTAATTGTATTATTTCTGAACATCTTACAAGCGCCATCTTGTTTTTGGTTGTAATGCAGCGCTGGCAGGATGCAGATTCTGATAGCAGTGTAGAAGACGACGTTGTTGTTGCTTGTTAAGCTGGTTATTATTGTTACTTTTGCGTTGGCGCGCTGATAATGTCCGCCTTTTGGCTTTCGATCTTTGTGGGGTGCGCGTGTATACTTACCGCAGTTGTTTCCGGCACATAACTCGAGCGATATTTACAGAGCACGAGCCAACAAAAGGCAAATTATTGTTTATTAATGCGCCTGCTTTGCATATACAGCCAGTCGGCAAGCCAGCGCTCGCCGATATGCATTTGCAATAAGCAATAACGCCTTATTGCATTACCCCGCCTGCCGCCTCCGTCACCGCAGCCGGCGCGATGCAAATGCAATTGAATGCGATACGGATACGCGAATGCAAAATGCAGCTGAATGTGTCGTGCGCTCTGTTTCACCACTTACAAATCCAAATTACACCCGGGATAGGAAACAATGTTGCGTTGTGAATAATCTACTGAAAATCAATGTTAATAGCTTTCTCTATTTTGGTAATTTTAACATAAAATCAAAAACATGAATAAAGTTTTACCAAAATAACTAAAATAGGAAAAAACTTTAAAAAATAGTTTTAATATTAAAATTTATATTTGTTTGTTTTGATGTTTAAATAAAATTGATTTAATTTACATTTTAATGAATATTTTTAGTATTTGCACAAAATGTGCGTTGTGAATTGGTCCGTTCGAATTGAACTTTATTGAGTTGTGTAAAATTTCATTGAAAACGCATTTGAGAGCGTTTTTCCTTTTTTCGGGCAAAACGTTTTCGCATGAACATTGTTGAATATTCTATTTTCTCTCAATTTTCGAAAACGGCTCGCAATATTTTCCACGCAAAACGACCCGTGCTGCGGGGTCGAGCGCGAGGTGCAAACAAAGCGTGCTTATTACACAATTTTCGAATTGAATATACACGCTTTTTATCGCGCGCGCACAATGGCCGCACCAGGAATGTTTATATTATTAATGTAAACGCCGCGGCACGTAGCAACAGCAACAGGAATGGCAACAGCAACAGCAAATGCGTAAATAACGAAAAACACGTTCGAAAAAGGCAGTATAGCAACGATGCAAAACACACTATACGCGAACAATGTTAACGTTGAGGGTGCCATTCCTGCGGTGGTAAAACGGTCGGCATCGCGCTAAACAAACACATAAAATATAGGTACGCAAAAAATAAATTAACCTAGCGTCAATAATGAAACGCGCCGCGTCGCGCAAAAAGTATGCATGCGATATTAGCATTACAAATCGCTAACACTTGGAATCATGATTATTCGAAAGGCGTTATGATTAAATGTAAACAATGCATCGTCAGCATCAACTGGAATATTTTTTCATTGAGTATACAATGTAAAATGAACCACGGTGTGTGTGTTGAAGGGTTATGCGAGCAGTAAAGTAGGACTTTTTGCTGTAATCCACAATAAATAAATAAAATCGTCCGTTTTTATTTATTCACGCTTCAAACCACATTTTTTCCTTCTGCGCCCTCTTATACACGTGCAATTTGACAATACGCTTGTACCCTCATTTAGTTTGCGATTCTATTCTCCGCATCTCCACTTTGCTTCTTCCTTTGCTCATCTGTTCAAGAATGCAAGGCCACCGTACGTTGGCTTGCAAATAAAATGGAAATTGAAAAGGATCCTGCGTCGCGTATTTGGCGGCTGCAATCGAAGATAAAAAGTCAATTTTAACTATTCGAAATGGTGCGCATAAAACGCCAGTAAAACGTCGAGGACGCTGCGTCGTGGCTTTCCACTTTCAGCCGCTGCGACCATAAAATTGTGTTGTGTGCCTGTTTGGTTCGTGTCATCGTTTTAGTTTCCTGCGGCACCAAATCGCAATCACACAACGAATGCATAGCAAAAGCGCTGCGGTTGGTTGTAAAATCAGACAAGACAACACAAGGATTCTACGCTACTATTACTTAAAAGTTTGAGAGCTAAACAATTCCTGTTCTAGCGTTTTACAGCCGCGATTGTTGGAACTATCTGGAATATTGTAGCAAGGTTTTGTTTATTTTTATTTCTTTGTAATGCAAGTATTGGATTTGTTTGTGATTTGTGTGTAGTGTGTAGATTTGAATAGTGGTTGGTGTAAATGAAGGACGAAAATGAATTATGAGAAACCGCCGACTGCCAACACCAATCTGGTCCTGCTGGGCCTTTCCTTGGTTTGCTTGTAAAGCGACCAACAAAGCCAATTGACCAACGACAATTCGCCTCGTTTAGTAGGTTGAAATCAAGGGAACACAGAAAGCAATTTCGTGCTGTGGATGTCCGCTTGTCCGCACTTTCCACCCGCTGTGCTCGCATTTTCCTCATTTGACACACAAATATGTCTATTAAAGCACATCCTAGATGTTTAGAAATGTGAAAATTTAATCAATTAATTAGAAATTTTAATATTTACAAATAAATAGTGATGTTTAATGTAAAGAACTTAATTATAGAGTTTATGTCATTAACATTTGTGAAATCAATGATGCAGAGAAACACCGCAGGTCACCAAACAGCTTTTGGTGATTTAAACCTCTTCAAAAGGGGCTTTGTATTCGTTGGCTGTGGTTTCCGTATCAAAAGCTGGTTGCAAATGCTGCACACATGCTAAATGGTATTTGTCTCTAACAAAAATTATACATTTACAAAGAAGATTACAGAAAATGTTAACGTTTTGTTTGACAAGGTAAACAAACCCTCATTTTCCGCTATATCCTTAGGGTTTCAACCGGACACTGAGCTTGAGTTCTGCGTACAAAACTCAATTCTCCATCTATTCCATTAATTCGACGTAATCCAGGTTTACGCGGTCGAAAGCGCCGCATCGCGCGAGTTCCAGCATAGAGGAAAATAGCGATTATGGTTTTGATAACTGCGTCGTTGGCGTACGCGCTCGACATCGACTTCAATATCGACTGGGGCTGCCACAACCGCCATTGCCGCATCCGAGGACGAACCACAAGTCGCACATGCACGTTCAGCACACAGTCGCACGACCTCCACGCATAAAATGCTTCTGCTTCTATTCACAGACAGCGTCGGAGACTTGCAACACTCGCGCACACCCAAATGGCAAATCTGCGGATGACGAAGGACAAAGAACTAAGTAGGACTCTTCCGAATGTAAACTTAATAAGGACTAGTCGAACTAATAGCGTCCTTAGAAGAGATTATGGCGGAGCGAGACGAGCTGGAGCGGTGGCCAGTGGAATGGGAATCGAAAATATATGAATGCGATGTTCGCATTCAAACGTCCCTACTTGGTCTCTGGATTGAGGGGTTGGAGATTAAGATTGAGTTGGCTTCGTGGTATCATAACCGAGAGAAGGGAAAAGGGATGGATTTTCAACGTACTTGCTGGCAATTTCATCTGTGTTATTATAAGTTTTCGTTGATCCGATTTAACCTAAAATATCCGCTAAAATACTTTTGTGTCCGATTCAATTTCCACACTGTGCACAAGACTTTAGACTTTCGTATTTTACGTATTTCTAAAAATAAAAATTTTGAGGTTTTAATGTGTTTTTCGCTTTTTTATCTTTTGGAAAAGTTAAATAATGTGGAAATGTGATTTATTCACACACTTGCAAGTGTAAATCGGGCGTCCCTGGAGCATTGCTTGTAAGTAGAATGCAAAACGATTCTCATTCGACGCCAAGACTCTAAAGACCACGAGTGCGTCACAGGAATATCAGTTCTTCAGTTTGACGTTCTCCATCGTTCAGCAGGCTGCTGCTCTCAATAGCGTCACGAAGTTCGCCCGTTTGCCAAGGTGAAATTGAGCCGAGGAAGCACTCCTCCACAGTTTCGGTTATAAAATCCGCTTGGCGCACGGATAATGATTCGAGTTGAACGCAAATATTACTACTGCCAGTGCAGTCACCAAAACCCAATGCTTTACTCCACCTTACTTCACTTTAGGGCTGCCGCTGTTCGGTGCTCGTATAAATTACTTGGAAAAGTAGAGATTGAATTCGAAATTTGCACAAAATTTCTCAATAACCCGGACGGTGTTCAGCGTTGTCGGCCATCATTTTTCTCGTTTGCACTCGAGAGGCCGTTTAATTTTAATAATTCTTTAATGAAAAGAGCGCTTAATTGCGCTAACTTGCTCAGGGCCGAGTAATAAATGCGGATAAAAAAGTTGAGCGTAATTAATCAGTCAGTCCGAAGATAATTAATGAGAACCGAACACACCGCACGCCAACGCGTTGCACTGTTTGCAAAGCGAAGAAAAAAGTTTAATTACCCTTCGTATTACGTGCTCGGAGGGTAAGGGTTTAATCGATTTTTATTTAAATTTTAATTGTTTTCACAATGTTTTACACATTTTATAATTCAATAACCTAGAGAAATTAATAATATCAAGCAATCCCTTTAAAAAGATTTCTTAAAAAATAAAAGTTTATATTAAAAAATGTAATTACATTAAAATATACATTACACGCATAAACATGTTAAAAAAATATATGTTGAATGTGAGTTTTGGGCTACAAACAACCCGTGCGTAATGAGAAAATGTTATTTTGTATGTTTATTATAAATGTTATAATGCTCGCGCACGCATGAATATTAATAAACGTGATGGATGGACCACGCCGCCTCCCGCGTACAGAGAGAATGTGTTATCTTTGAATTATGTAGAGATCAAAGTGGAATTTCTAAACGCATGCATTATGAATATAAGAGCCAGGCGCGCGCGCTGGCTCTTTGCAAAATCATCATTAAAACATTATAAAGGTTGACTTGGTAGCGGAGTTGCGATGGCATGCGCTGCCATGTTTTGAGAAGTTATTCGCATGCGGGGCGGCTGCGTTACGTGCGATTTGGTATGCGGTCCACTTCTTTTCATACACATTCATACCGTGTACGAGTACAATGTGTACTTGGTTTGTTCGCGAGGATAAAATAAAACACCGCCACAATGCATATACAATGGCAGTGCAAGTTCCAGGAAGCATTTTTAGGTTAGGGCTGGGTATTTTAAGCGGCCATTGTGTGAAAATTTCAGGAGATGTAGTGTGGTTACCGTAGTCAGTAAATTCCACAAGGACTGTTATATTTTTAAACAAATTCTTTAAAAAAATGTTTTTTTAAATATTTTTTCTTAACATTTTGAGAGTTTTTGTAGGTTATATCAATATTTTCTTGTACTTTAATCTAAAAATAAAGATTTTCTTATCCTGAAGTGCAGTTTACTATAATTTAATTTGTGGATCTTTAGGAGTATGTTGCTTGCAAATGTCGGATCGAGTAGAAACAACGAAAGCCTAGTTCTTTCAAGTCGACCATTTTCTTTACCGACATTTCTATCTACTCTTTGCTGCCAATGCTCCTCAGGTTTTCACTACGTGCAAGTCTCGTATGCACGTAAGTACACAAGGATGAACAAACAGAAAACTGCACGTTCTTTGATCCTACATCCTGAGACTCCTAGTCACTAACACAAACACTACAAAAGAAACAAGATTCTTGTCTTGTCGAAAACAACAATCTTACAAGTCGTTTGCATAATAGTTCTAGGTACATAACCTAAAAATATTTGAGTTATTATATTTTAGGTTATTTGATTATGTTTTTGAAAAATGATGATATATGGTGTGATTTAAGCTGATTTTACATTTTGTTTGATAGCCTGTAACACGGTGTTGCTTTATATGTACGCCAGCCGTAGGGGGCTTCGACGAAATTAAATTTGTAATACTCTCTCCCAGTTTGGCGCCCTCCGTTGTTTCGGCCAAAAGGCGTACGGGTGGCGGACGTACGACGTACATACGAGACGACGTATTACCGAAAAGAGAATGCCGTAAGTCGCAGACGCGCGCGACAGGCGAAAAAGGAAGACGCGCGCGCGTGCCTTGCATACACTTTACTTTGTTTCGTTTCGCTTCAAATTTTTACTCACATGCCGCGCGCGCGGGTCCGAAAGAAGACGCCACCGGGAATGTCATTCCACTTTAAAATCTCATTCGTGAGAGCATGAATTCTTAAAATTGTAGATGCATGCCGCACGTCGCAAAGACTCTCGCTGAAAGTTTAATGATTTTGTTTATGTGCACTAGAACAAATAGCTTTTTGCATACCTTAATCACAAATGTGTGCCGATCTACTCAAGTATAAAATAATTGAATGTTTTGTTAATTTTATTGACTTGTCTGCTCGTCGGATGCTGAATCCCCTAGATATATTTATTATTCATGCATTCATATCATCCGACGAATGATTCTCGGCGCCCCTCGGGGAAATATTCTTTTGACTGCTTAATAATCTATTACGGCATAATAAATGTGTTTGATCTTCATTATCTTCGTTAAATAATTGCCGAATTGAGTTTGCGCTCGACTCAAACGCACTCTCGAACATAATAGCCACCAATTTAGCAATTCTCTCGGCTTTTTGGCGCATAACAATAATAAATAAATTGTTTGAAACGAAGCGTAGAATCAAATGCAACTGTTTATGCTTTGCTCGCCTTTTGCCACTTTATATTTTCTTCGTTTTTGTTTTATTTTACGCGTGCAAAATGTTTTAACATTAACATTTATTGGTCGGCATTGCTGTTTCTGTATTGCTATTATGCCTCATCGTAAACTTTTTATTTTTTTCTTCTTTGTGATGTCCGTTTTGAAGTTTTATGATTATAAATCTCGCGTCATGACGAGGGCACTTAATGCGCTCATTGCTAACGTGCTGGTGTCCATTGTCTTTAAAACGGAAAAGAATCTGTTCGCTGCAGAAAAAAATCACAAAACACAAAAAAACGGAAAGTGAGTAAAGAGAGTGGCGCGTTATTATTTAAATTTAAGCACATTTGAATCTTAGCACTTAATCCTACTTTTCGACGCGCAGCGATGAGGACCTTCTTTTTGTTTCGTCACAAAAAACAGGATTTCAAAAATGGGCGCGAGCACTCTCAAAGTCGGAGCGGACTTACGTCCACTCTGAGAGAGAATAAGGTCAGCGAAGCGTGCATTTTTTGCAGTCTTTCGTCCTCTGCCCGGAACGGAATCAGCGAAAATGCGAAGCGAATGCGAATTATGATTATTTTTATGACGTAATCCTAAAAGGTTCCTATTCATTTTCGTTTTCATCAAGTGTATACTTTCAACGCCCCGCATGTAAAAAAAGGTTTTATTTAGGTGCGTTGGAGTAAAAAGTAATTAAGGTAAAAGTAAAAAAAAACCTAACAAAGATTTTCCTTTTAAAGCATATTATAATAGATGCTAATATATCTGCAATAGAAAAGTGGTTCATTGTCGTTACATAACAATTCCCTAAATATATTTCTTACAAAAACCAATTTCCAACTAAATATTTCTTTACACTCCTGAAAGGATTATAAATTAGATATTGTGGATGCCACATTATTCTAAATTACGCCGCGTTTTCTTCGACCTTTCAGACCTTTCACAACTTGCGCAACATAATATTATTTATAAAATTCTAGTTTGCGTTAATGCTTTGACGTCAATTTGCTTTGCGGGCGTAGTGTTTCTTCCTAGCTACTAGCATGAGGTGAATAAAACGGATTGTGACATAGCTGTAATTTTGTGTCGGCGTGAAAACGTTCGTAAATACGCGCTGCGCCGCGTGGCACCGCATTAATTTTCAATGCCGGAATGATAGATAATGTACTGAAAACGCGCAAACTGGCTATTTGTATTGAGGCG